CTGTCGTGGAGGAAGATGGAGAGGGAGAGGGAGAGGAGGCAGGTGACACGCCGCCACCGCCGCTGCCGCCACTGGCGTCTCAGCAGCAGCAACATCAGACGACACCCGCAACAGATGCGATCCGGCAGCGGCGGCGGCAGCAGCGGCAGCGGCGGCGGTGGCGGCGGCGGCGGCGGCAGCACCAGCGGCAGCGGTGGTGGCGGCGGCGGCGGCAGCAGCAGCGGCAGCGGAGCCGCTGCCAATAACACGGTTCCCCAATTTGGGTCGCACGTGTCGTCGGTTGTCTCGACCTTCTCCTGGAGTTCCACGCCAGGTGACCCAGGGGTCAGTGAGCCGGGAAATGCCGAAGCGGCTGTGGCGGCGGAAGCGGCGGCGGCAGTAGCACACATGGCCATTGAGCTCCGATCGGATATGAAAGGGCTGCGGGGCTCACCAAGCCACTTACAGCACATGCGGATGATAACACGATGATATTGTCACCGGCGCTGAGAGCGGCGCTGCGACAGGCCAAGAGTCGATCACGCTGTTCACAGTCCGTTTCGCAATTCGATTCTCAGTCGCAGCTACAGCTCCTGCAGCAGCAGGAATGGACCCGTGGGTCATTTCTGCTACAGCCCAACACGCTCGTGTCTTCCTCTGTAGCATCGTCCGCCGCAACCTCGGCTGTAGTCGTCACCATTGGCACCAATGTGCCATCAGCTGGAGTGAATTCCGGGCTACAGTCGCAACAGCCGCCGCCACCGCCGCCGTCGCGGGCCAGCCTGGCGGCAGCGCTGGCGCACACAGGCGACGGCTCGCTCAGCACCGCATCCTGGCTACAGCCACCACCGCCGGTGAAGCCGCCGCCACCGTCGCGAAACAGCGTCCCGCAGCTGCAGCGGCCGGAGCAGCAGCAGATGTTGACTCAACAGCTATCCGAGTCGTACGGATCTGAATCTACCGTATCCACGTTGCAAAACATGTACGGCGGATCTACAGGGCTGAGGCCGCAGCTTCAAGCCGGGACGTGGGGTCAGGAAAGGTCGATGCTGATGCCGATGCTGATGCCGACGCCGACGCCGACGCCGACGCCGATGCAGCAGCAACAGCAGCAGCAGCAGCAGCAGCAGCAGAGGCATGCGGAGGTGTTGGTGGCGACGGTGGAAGCGGCGGCTGAGAGGCACCAAGGTCCGACGTCAGCGCAGGTGGCGGCGGCGTTCGCGGTGTACCTGTCGGGATGTGCTTGCGGTGTTGGTGGAGGCGTTGGCGGTGTTGGTGGCGTTGGCGGCTGCGGAGAGCGGCTACCGGGTGCTGCTACAGCTGGCAGCCGCCTGCCCCCCCGCGCACCGGTGATTCCTGTGCAACCACAGCAGCGAAGTGGCTTGCCGCAGCCGCAGCCGCAGCCGCCGCCATCGGGCCTGGCGCTGGTAGGTGCGGCGGTAATGGCGGCGGCAGCCAGACCAACGAACCAGCTGCCGTACACACCGGTCGCGATGCAGGTTGAAGCTCCACCCCGGGGGCTTGTCGAAGGCCCTGCACACCCAGCAAACGTAAGCAGCGTTGGCGGTGACAGTATCACATCGCGACGAACGACAGACGGTGTCACAGCCCTGGATGCTGATGCCGTACCGCAGATTCCCAGCACAGGCAGCGGGTACGATGTCTGCGCCCCTGTTTATGTGCCGTACGGTCGAGAGATGGGGCTCAGGGGAGGTGGTGCAAGAAGCACCATTGTCATCGGCGGCAGTAGCGGTGTCAGTGCAGGCGGCAGCGACGGCGGCGGTGGTGTTGGCAGTGGCACTCTGGGTAATAGGACGCTGTCGTGGGCCTTACGCACAGCGCCAGCGGGGTGGGATTCCGCGTTTTCCCATACGGGGTCGTTTCCCGATGGCGGCACCCGCCGCCGCCGCCGCCACCGCGGCGGCGGCGGCGGCAGGGTCGCCGCCGGCACCGGCATCGAGGGTGGCGCCGAAACCTTGGAAGTAAACAGCGGCGCTCCCGTCGGCCGTATGGCAGATAGGCGCATGGGACGAGCTGCTGCTGCGGCGGCTGCTGGCGTGGAGGCTGCGTTACCCAGACCCAAGTTCACGTTCGGCGAACCTAGGTCCTTGTGTTCCCGGAGGCGCTCGTCCATGGCCGTTGTGGTAAGAACCGTTAGGGGTAACGGCCACGTGATAGTAATGGCAGTTAGAATCGTTGATTACGACGTGGAAGTTCATCTTGCACAGCCTTAGTAAAATTCATTCTCCTTCAGGACGTTTCTTTCCGCACTCTTAACCCTAAAACCTCAAAGCCACAAGTCCCTAAAACCCTAAAACCCTGAAACCCTAACATTCACACCGCAGGTTGCTGCTGGGGCTGGGTCAGACACCAGCAACGCAACAGCAACGGTGCCACCAGCCGTACATTGCAGTACGATAACTTCCCCGGCGTGTGAACACCCGTATCCGCCGCTGACATCACTCGTTCGGCGGCGCTGCCGTACATCTCCATCACCTCAACCGGGGACCCGGAATCGCCATTTGTGGCCGCCGTGAGTACGACATCGTCGCCGATCCCGTCGCCGTCGGCTGCGACGGCGGCGACGGTGGCGTCGTCAGAGTCCCCCCGACCTGGGAGACCGTCAGCATGGCCGTGGGCTTTCCAGGGGGATCGCGAGGGCGACGGGGGAGCAAAGGAATGCCGCCAACACAGTAACGCAATGCTGCATTCCTCGCCGCCGCTGACAACTCCCGCCGCTGCTGCCACCCTTTCTGTACTACCTGCAGCAGGCAGGGTACGGTAAGGTACTGCACATGAAGGTAAGGGACAGAAACAAAGGGGTTAGGCAGGGACACGATAGCGAGCGAGGAAGGGATTTGGAGATTCGGCGGTAGTTGGCTTGACAGTGTCGATCAGCTGCTGCTCATCAATCATGCCGGCAGTCTCTGTGCAAACGAGCAGATTCAGGGGAGCACGGCAGGCGGTCGAGTGGAAGAAGCCTCCGAAAGACATGGTCATCTTTGGCCCCAACACTTTCACGACCTCCATCACATGTTGTACTCCGTAATCTTTCTCACTAGGATTCCCCTGTGTTGAGGAAACGGTCCTCTCCCAACTCGTGTGGTTGTCGACCAGGGGATTTGACCCCGGGTCTGCGCCTAACTAATGGGGAAGACTTACCCCAGAACCTTATGGGGCTATCGATGCATATCCGGTAGCTAAGTGATAGACATTAGGGCACCGTCTGGACGGCGCAGTGAGATCGCGGAATGTACGTGCAGTTAGATCGCGGAATGTACGAGTTTTCCGCTAGCGCCGGTATTTAGGGCGGTGACTGCGCCTATTAGTTTATCTCACAACGATCGGTATTCCTACCAGGAATCTCCTCAAGTCCTGCCGAACGCTAACAATACTCTTCACATTACTTGTAACAGTTTATCGTGCTAAATATCTTCGCCACCGGCAATCCTTCCGGAATAACAATTAGCGTTAGCTGTCACCGTCGCCAATTCTTCAATAGGTTATGAGCCCCGCTTAGCGCCGACAGTTATCGCCCAATTGTTATTTCTATCCCTCATCGAAAATGGTTAAGGACAAGCTTGATGAGTCGTTGGATCTCAACAACTACGCTACCTGGCAAATTCGGTTCAGCGCGATGTGCATGGAGCTTGGGCTTGAGCAATCCCTGCTCGCCGAGCCGTGCAACGAGGAGCAAATTCGACAGTCACGGAAGGTCATCAATCTGCTCATCAAGAACGTCAAGGATCATCATTTGCCGATGGTTACCGGTGCTGCCAACGCGAAGAAGGCCTGGGACGCCTTGGGATCTATGTTTGCTGCCAACAACAACGCCCGCAAGGTGTCTCTACGTCAAGAATTCAGCCGTTTTAAGATGGTCGACGGCGAACCTCTTCCGATGTACTTTGCGCGTGCAAGGCAGCTGCAAACAGATTTATTGGGAGTCGGCCACGTAGTTAACGACTCCGAGCTGGCGTACACCGTGCTAGTTGGTCTACCCAGTCGGTACAGCGTGGTGACGACTACATTACTTATGCGTGACGGCGATTTGGACATGGCGAGCGTCACAGCAAAGCTTCTCTCTATCGAGACGGCTAACGGTGGGTCGGGCAAGCCTACCGAGTCGGCAGCCTTCACGTCTGTCGGCGGTTCGACGTTCGGCGCTTCTACTTCTGGTTATGGTAGCCGGGGGCCGGCTAACAACAGCTCGGGACATAGTCGGAAGCAAGTCATCTGCTACTACTGTAATAAACCTGGGCACGTGGTTAAGGACTGCAGGCAGCTTAAGGCGCTGAAGCAGTCGTCAAATTCTGGCTACAAGGGTGGCTACAGCAACAGTGGTAACGGAGGTAGTGGCAGCGGAGCTAGCGGCAGCAAGCCAGGATCCGGTGGATCAGCTAGGAGGCCAGGAGTTCCGCGGCAGGTAGCATTCGTGGCATACAACAGCAATCGTCCGACGGAATGGTTTCTGGACTCAGCCGCCACTCACCACATAACGCATGACCGCTCAGAACTTTTCAACGTGCAGTTGTTGGAGCCGTGGGAGCGCTTCAACATCATGGGCATCAAGGGACAATCTCTTCGACCGACTGAAGTTGGCACGCTTACGATTCGGTCTAACGTCAACGATAAACAGGCCATCACTTTCAAGAAGGTCTACGTCGACGAGGAAGCCACCACCAAAATCATATCGGTACGCATCATTGATGATCGTGGAGGCAGTGTGGTCTTCGGCGGCGGACAGGCGAAAGTATACGTACAGAACCAGTTGGTGCTGACTGGAAAGCGGGATGGGGACTTGTATCCCGTCTGCTACAGCAGTGGAGGTACGGGAGCTCTGAAGAGGACTCAGCGTGAAGACAACAGGATACCTTCTGGTGGTGATGCAGTGTGTGCTGCCGTGGGTATCGGAGCTGAACGTGCAGCACTTTGGCACCGAAGGTATGGCCACTTGGGATACAGCAACCTTGAGACGTTGCTGCGTCATAATATGGTAGCTGGATTTGATGTTGACCGACACAGCATACAATCAGCCAGCACGTGTGTGTGTGAGACTTGCGTCCTTGCTAAACATACACGTGGTCCTTTTCCGTTATCTGGGCATAAGGCAGCGCAGCCTCTTGCGCTCATTCACATGGATGTGTGTGGGCCTATGCCTGAACCTTCGCCTAGTGGTTCGCGTTACGTGACAACCCTGCTTGACGACCATACTGGTCTTTCAGCTGTTGCGTTTACAGCGACCAAGGAGGAGGTCTACCAGAAAATGGTGGTAATGATAGCGGAACTGGAGCGTGCTACTGGCAGGCAGGTTAAGGAGGTGCGTACAGATCGTGGCGGGGAGTTCGTTAATACTCGCACGAAGGCCTATTTCGCTTCCAGGGGTATTCTACACGGAACTACGGTAGGCTTCACCCCTGAGCAGAACGGAGCTGCAGAACGTTTAAATCGCACTCTTTTGGACAAGACTAGGGCTATGCTAGTTGAGTCTGGACTGCCTAAATCATTATGGGCGGAGGCGTTAGCGACAGCCAACTATCTTAGGAATGTGTCGCCAACTGCTGGGTCAACCGTCACTCCGTACGAAGCTTTCTTTAATGTTCGTCCGAACGTCAGTCACCTGCGAGTCTTTGGATGCGTTGCCTACGTCCACGTACCCGACATCAAGCGCGACAAGTTCGACCCGGTGAGCAGGCATGGAATACTTGTCGGATACGGGAACGGTGGACAGTATCGTGTACTATACGAGGACGGCATTATTGCCATAGTATCTAATGTCCGCTTTGATGAGTCTAATGTCGGCCGGCGGCGTAATGCCGGGGACTCCGATTATGAGTCCGATGCCGACGAAGAGGAGGAGTTTCGCACTAGTTTATCTGGTGAGGGATCGCTGCCTAGGGCTGGCGAAGGGACACCAGGTAGCACCGTCGGCGAGGGATCGCCGCACTTGGGTGGCGAGGGGGCGCCGGCTGGGGCTGGACCTTCCAGCAGTGCGAACGGGCAAGGAATCAATCAGCCTGATGTGGAAATGGCGGGAACTAGGTACCCAGTTAGAGAGCGTAAACGCCCTGGCGAATGGTGGCGAAACGAACCTGGTCGCACTGTCACTGGTCGTGTTAACGCTGCTTTCTCTGCTGGTATTCCTGAGCCTAATTCGTTTGAGGAAGCAATTGCTAGTCCACATGCAGACGACTGCGATC